CCATGGGGTGCGTGGTGAGTACACCATGGGATATATAGGACACACGCACAAGGAAGGGATTCCCTTCTAGTTACCGCTGGGCGGTAGGCTCCCCCAGCTGCACTAGGGTCCCAGTCGAACCAACGGCAAGATGCTGTGGACATGTGGTAAGTCCGCTTCGAAAATCTGAATATAGCTTACCGTAGAGAGATGCTGCGTGGTGTACTGACTTCAGATGTGACTCTGCTCCGATTGTCGACGTGACTGGTTTGCTGTGTCCAGTATAATACAGTTATGCATGTACATATTGGTCTGAAGGTTTCTGATAGCGTGGTGTGTGTGTGTGTGTGTGTGTGTGTGTGTGTGTGTGTGTGTGTGTGCAGTGTCTATGGGATGCAGGGCAGAACGGCCTTGTGTGTGTGTGTGTGTGTGTGTGTGTGTGTGTGTGTGTGTGTGTGTGTGTGTGTGTGTGTGTGTGTGTGTGTGCAGTGTCTATGGGATGCAGGGCAGAGCGACCTAGTGCCCCTAGGCACTAGTCCATCTGGCCTTCCTTATGGAGGGACACTGGGCGGGTCACACACACACACACACACCCAGGCACACACGCACACACATACACAATCATTTTTATGTAAGTTTTTTCTTTCTTGTATTTTTCTAAGTACTTTTTGTGTCCCTCGCTGAGCACCCTTAAGCAGTGCCAAACAGCCGGTCATTCCTCATCTGGGGTGCCTACAGCACTCTTACGGGGGCCGCTCAGTTTGGGATGTCTTCGTCTTCTGCGGGTGATGACGGATGTTCGTCTGGGTGATTCCCTGGCTCAGCGGTGGTGGGAACCAACAGTCTGTGGGGTTTAACTCGTGATGCGAGTATGTCATGTGCCGCTTTGCTTTGTGTTGGATGTGTAGACCGTCTTGTCTGAGCTCTGCCGCTGACTTGCTGCCCGTCCCGCTTGCTTCACAGGTCTTCCTCGTCGCTCTGCTGCCGTGCCGCCCATCCGCAGGCTGTGCCTTCTGTGTCTTTTGCTCGTGTGCCTTGTGGTTTGGTTGCCTTGTTGGTGTTGCCTTGCGCTTCACTGCACGCTTGCTGAGCTGCTTGTCCGCTTGCCCCGTCGGGCTTCCGTATCCTTTTCTTGTGTGGCTTGTAGTCTGGTCGGCTTGTTGATGTTGCATTGTTCTTCACTGCATGGTTGCCGAGCTGCTCGTCCTGTTGACCTGTCGTTCCTTGCAGTCGTCTTTGGTGATTAGCAGTTCGGTTGCTCCCACAGCGTTGCCTGGTGTTTCACTGAGTTTCTGCCCCCTGCTATGTCCTGCTTGGGGACAGTCTGCCTTCAACATGGGTCAAAGGGTTCATGACCCAAACCATCAATATGGGGATTCCGCAGATTTTCGAGGGTTCAGCCTCCTCACTAGTCGGTGCAACTCCGACGAGACAATCTATCATCGTCAGCTTTTATTTTTTTCAGTCTTTCAATTCTTTTGGGACTTGTTTCTTTTTTCCTTGGTTTGCCTGTTTGGTGTGCTCGTATGTTGTCTGCCCTCCCTCCTCCCCTGTGCCCTCCAGCCTATGGTTCACCTCACTGCTCTTTTGCCTTCACCTCACTGCTCTTTTGCCTTTGTCTTTTTGCCTGCTTGGTTTTGGCATGCCTTGATGCTTTTCTTGCCTGCGTGGTCTTGGCATCCTTTTGGGACTGGTTTCTTTGGTTTGCCTACTTGGTGTGCTTTTGTGTTGTCTGCCCTACTGCCTCCCCTATGCCCTCTAGCCTATATGTCTGGCACTTCGGAAAGCTGATCATGGATAACCGCGTATGTACGAGGTAGCTTCATGAGAAGCAGTAGAGTGGCAACATACTGTTAGTTTGGTTACGGCAGGGTGAGGTGTACCACGGGCTCCATGGGGTGCATGGTGAGTACACCATGGGATATATTGGACACACACACACACACACACACACACACACACTGAAGGTGGGGAGGTGCAGAGAACTGGTATCTGCACCTCTCCCCGAGCTCGTCCAGATTCAGGTATTTCATGCCTGAATCTGGATGTGTCTGCGGAGAGGTGCAGAATCACGATTTTCTGCACCTCCCCGC